CCGGGGGGGGGGGGGGGGGGGGGGAGCGGAGCGTGGGAGACGGGGGGAGGGGGAGAGGACAGCAAGTGTTACAACTTCCTTCCCTGCCCACTGCCCGAGCGCGGCGGGCGAGGGACGCGGCGAGGGGAGGGCAGCGCGCGCCGGAGCGCCAATGAGTTCACTTTCTTTCCCTCCCCGCGCTCTCCGCCTCTCCCTGCCCGCCGGCCCCTCCGAGCCGCGCGCTCGGCCGGAGTTTTCGGGCTGCGGCGGGGGAGCCGGGGGGCGGCTGGCGCGGAGCGAGGAGGAGGAAGGAGAGGGGAAGGTGAGGCGGCGAGCGGGGCGCGCTGCCGGGGAGCCGCATCCAGGACCTTAACTGTGCGACGGGGGGACGCGCCGGGCCGAGTGTGCCCGAGACCAGGCGCGTACACGTGTCCGTGTGTGTGTGTGTGTGTGTGTGTGTGTGTGCGTGTGCGAGAGAGAGAGAGAGAGAGAGACAGAAAGAAGAGAGGAGCCTACCATGCGCTTCCCCCCGTGCAGATCGCGGGAGAGCCCAATCACAGGGCGGGGCGAGCCGGGCCGGGCTGCGACCATTTATAATCCTGGGCTCCTCCGCTCCGCCACTTGTCAAGATGACAGGTACTTTATCTCTTATTCCCCTTTATTCAAAAACAGAGATTCCCCGTTTACTGCCTTTCCCTGTCAAATGGGATTTGCCGGACTGAACCACGTTGGCCGCCCCTCCCGCCTCCCCTCCTCCCGGCCGCGTCGGGTACGGGAAGGCTCCAGGGCTCCCGCGCTGTGGCCAATCAGTGCGTCTACGACTCTTGCGGTGATTTAGGGGTCGTCCACGAATAACACTGCACGCTGATGAATGGCTCTTGCATGCTCTCGGCTCTGATGAGGGGCTTGCCCGCCGCTGATTGCAAACACTCATGAACTTGCGGCGCCATTGGAAATTCACACGCACCTCCAAAGTGCGGGGGTACGTGCGAGCGGGGGTGGGGGGCGTCTGCCCTTCTCTCCGCCCGGCCGCGAGCGTGAGCGCGCGGGGAGGGGGGCGGGGGGGAAGGGGCGGGTAATTGCTTCGGACCGAAGTGGAAACACTTGTGTGTGTAATCAAACCCCTAACCTTCCTGGGAAACTACTTTTCTGGATCTTTCACAGGGTGGGCATTTCGGGTCAGCTGAGTCACCCGAGGAGGTGGGAGAGCCAGGCGCTGCCGGGAAGATGGACTCCGAGGCAGGAGGGTGTAATTAAGGACTCCTACTCCAGGTAGGCGGCCGGCCTTTACAAGAGGCTCTGAAAATGACCCGCGCCTTCGCTTCCAGTGTCCGCTCGCCCGAGACTGAAAAGCGCAAATGACCTTCGCACGCGGGAAGCCGTCATACACGAGCCCCAACGCGGCGCCGGCGGAGCACAAGTGTCCAAGCGCCCAGACCTCCCCAGCAACCGCGCGCTGGCCGGTGGAGACGGATTCTGGAGGCATCCTAAGGCTCCACGCCTCGCCTTCTCCGACGCCCCCACCCCCACCCCGTTCTCCTTTCAGATTAGCAGCCAAACCCTACCCCTGCTTCGACTCTGTTTGCTCTGGGAGGAAAATAAAAGTTTACTGCTCTCCCGGACACTGTCACTTTCTACTCACTTCAGTTCCCTGCAATCCCCTCGCTCCCAGCTCCCCAACCCCCTGCTCCCCGAGCCTAAAGGAAGGAAGCCCACCGGGGCGGACTGGTGTCCCGGCTGCTCGGCAGTCCTGGAGCACCCGCTCCTCGGCTTTCGAGGAGCCGCTCTCCGGCTCTGCGTCCCTCTGGACCCTGTTCCGCGCGCGGCTGCAGCCGGGCAAGCGCGCGCGCGCGTGGGGAGGAGGAGCGCGCCCGGCTCGGCGCCTCTCCGGGCACCCTAGCGTACCCCCCCCCCCGTCCAAGGTGGCTGAGAATGAGTGCCCCGGGCCTCAACGGGCCACAGGCAGACCTGACCTGGGGAGCCTGGCAGAGGAACCTGGTGAGCTCCCAGCCTTCTCATTCCATCTTCCACTTTCACCTTCAGAGCGGAGGACTCCAACGACCTGCACCTAACGGGACGTGGGCTTGAAGGAAAAGCACGTGTACTTGTAACTACGTGCAGAACAAGAATCAAGAGGAAGCACCCCGAACACAAGAGCAATGCCCCCTAGGAAAGCTTGAGGCTTCATGACAGAGTGTCTCCAAAGTTTTCGGTAGAACTGACGAGGAGGAGAATCCCTGAACTTGAATTAGTGTGCGCAGTGCTTCAGAGCTCCCGAAGTTGCCAAATGACCAAACGCACCTACTCATTCAAAAAGTAACGGTCATGCGTGATGAGCACGGGCCCCACGCCCGGGTCACACGGACACATCCACACGGCAAGAATCTAGAGTTCTTCCTGGGGTGGGTCCGTCTCTTTCCTGCCTTGTGTGTTCACACTTGGGGGGGGGGTGAGGGGTTAGAGGTGGGCGGGGCGAGGAGTGGGAATGAATGATTATTACCCTCTCGTTGTAGCCATTTTCATTTTCTTAAGAAAACTTTTGAATTGTGAAGCTCTGCCCCAGATACTGCATGCCCATCACACAAACCACTTAGAGTTTGCATCCCTGATGTGATTCTAAGGATACTAGTAGGGTGCTTTACAAATCACATGTGTGGCCCAGTTCCCACAAAAGCATTTTAAGTGTTCAAAACTTGTCTAGTGTCCATGTAACATTCCCACTAGCTCTTTTGTACTTTACAATCCAGGAACACACACACACACACACACGCGCGCGCGCGCGCGCGCGGACGTAGGACACATCAGAAAGAAGCCAGAATAAAAGAACTAAACTGCCGGTGGAACAGGCAGGGGGTGGGGTCCCAGAGTAGCATGTGCCTTCTTTTCAGCTCTTTTCTCTTTTCAGCCCTTATTACAGCTAAAGCTGGTAATGAGCATAGGAAACAATAGAACTCATAAAATTTAGAAATGGTAATAAATCTTGAAGCTTGTCTCCAGCCCAGCTCCCTGGTACATGGTATTCAAAGTTTCTCCGTATGCGATGCTGAACATTCCCACTAATGGCACGCAATATAGGCAAAATACTCTAGAATTCGTTCAAGCAGCCCCGTGTACTCTATGGCCGCATCACTGGTGGACAAAGCGCGCAAGTGTCCTCAAAGGCTATCTGTATGTGTAAGAAGAAGGCTGAAATCCAGGCAGTTCGTGTGTGTTAAGTTTGAGGCTTCGCGGGTGCCCCCCCCCCCCCCGTCACTAACAAATACGTTCCATCCTTTGAGCTCCTTAGGAAAAGCTGATGTTGCACGGCGCCAAAGTGCACCGCACGCTTTCTCTTCCCAACGCATCCTTGGAAAGCAGAGAGGCAGCTTGCTACGTGCCCATCCGGCTTTCTGCCTGGCTGAGCGGCTGTCGTGGGAGGGCGGGGGTGGTGGGTCGACCACGCAGTGCCCTCGGCTGCAATAAAAACTCGAGCGGCAGAAGAAATGCAAGACGTGGCTGGCTGTTTTGCAAACCTCCGGCCGCTCACAGCAAACTCTGCCTGCGCGGCTGGTGACTTTGCCGCTAACGCAGCCCGCCGAGTAGCGGATAATGGGGCCGAGTCGGTGGCCTCGCCCTCCCGTGGGGCCCCCTGGTCACAAGGATGTGCAGCTCTCCGAGAGAAAAAACCATGGTGACCAGCTCCCCTTGCAGCCCCCACCCCCCGCCCCTGGAAAAGCCCGCCTGCGGCCCTTGCAAACCGCCCCCTGCGCTGGCAGGGAAGATAATGGGCCGAACCACTTTGGACCTGCCACTCCATCAAACCCCCCTTCAGTTGAGGGTCGCTCCCCACTTGAAGGCGATGCTTATCCATTTTAGTGGGCATCACCTGAGCCTTCCCTGGAGGCTGTTGTTTTTTTGAGGGGGGGGGAGGCCTATCAGTTTTTTCCCTCCTGTTCCTGAAGGTTCAGCCTGGTGCTGCCGAGGCTGGGTGGCAGCTGTCTCCCCACCCCCATCCCGCCTTTACCCCCCCCCACCCCACAGGGGCGCAGCGGGTCCAGCAGCCACTTCCTCCTCTGACATGCGGGGCTTTCAGGCGTGCAGAAGGGGAGCACCGGGTCAGGCAGGGATGACGGTCTCCGAAGGGCCTCGTGGGCACAGCTCCACTTTAGAGCCAACCTTTGCAATCCCTGCATCTGCTCTAGCAAACTGAGGCAAGAATAGCCAGACGGTGGGGCTCGAATCGGCTGGACCTCCCCCGCCGAGGGGTTCTAGGCACTGATCAGGAAGGGAGGAAAGGACTGAGGGAGCCAGAGTTCAGACACCTAGACCTCCCTGCTGACCCTCTGAAGAGATCAGGGAAGCCAAAAATCTAGATACTTCCAGAAGGAGGTATGCCTCAGCTGAGAACAAGCAGTAAGGAGCAGCTCAAAAGGCAGGCTGAGGGCTGGCAGTCAGGAGGAAAGGAGGGAGTCCGGGGCACTCCCAGCCAGGTGGTTAACAAATCACTTTGCACGTGAAAACAATCAATCTGGGACACGTTACAGCCCTAGAACTGAACTTTTACACGAAGGTCTCTCAAGTAGCTCCGAAGTTAATTCTCAGGTGTATGTTGTCTCTTCCCCTGGGGAAAATAAGTTACTTATATACTTATATACTTATACTGTTAGACTGAGGGAAACCATAAAACACATATTCTGATCCGATCACTGATCAAGTCATAATATTAAAGGACTGTTGGTGGCAGAAGATACGCTTTCATTACCTTAATTAGCGCAAGAGAGGCCTCTCTTGAAGCGCACGCATTTTGGAGCTGCCCAGTGAACTACAAACCACTCTTTAGATGGGACCGTGCTTTTCCAGTACTTGCTTTGTGTCCCACTGCATGAACAGGGCCCACGCATGGCTCCGATCTTCGGTGAAAAGGCAATTTTGGAGCCCACCCCAGCTGCTGACGTGGTCTTGCTGCAGCCACGTACAAAACCCAGTTCCTTCAAGGACTGTGAACACAGGAGCATCTTTTCACACGTGGCACTTTTAATTTTGGTTTAATCCCACATATGTGTTTAAAGCGTGCCACAGTATTCCACACTAAGAGATACGACCTTTATAATTAATAGTTGCCACAGAGGACCCTTTAAAATCGGCCCTATTGTCTACAAGCAGCTTTTTAGTAAACACTGTATATGCTATATTTAAGGTATACACAGTCTATACAACATATAGTGTATTTAAGGTGGGTACTAGCTGCTGGCAAGGTTTATAAATTCGTGCCACAGGACAATTGTGTTAATAATCTGATGTTCTTTAGGTATTTTGGGGATCCAGTCTATAAGTTAACTTGTAAACATAGGTTAGAAATCTAGGCATCAAGTGACTACATTCACTATCGGACCCAGGAAACATCTCATTTCCCAGAGGTGTCCTACTCGCTCCTTCCTTTGCCGACTCCCAAGTCCTGGATGTCCTCTACTGTCAGCCTCTGGAAGCCCTGTTTATTAAAGTTCCTATTAATGATACTTCCCTCCCTTAGAAGAGCCTCTACTGTATTTTCTGCGTGTAATAAACGGTGGCACTGTTTTATAATATGAATCTTTTCCAATCGCTCTTTAAAACCACAGGATCCAGGGGCACCTGGGTGGCTCAGTCAGTTAAGCGTCCAACTTTGGCTGAGGTCATGAGCTTGAAGGTTCGTGGGTTCGAGCCCCGTGTTGGGCTCTATGCTGACAGCCCAGAGCCCGGAACCTGCTTTGGATTCTGTGTCTCCCTCTCTCTTCCTGCCCCTCTCTCACTCACACTTTGTCCTTCTCTCTCTCTCAAAAATAAATAAACGTTAAAAATAATTAAAACCACAAGGTCCAGCATAAAGGGCTGCCGTACAGACGATGCTCGATAAATCATCATTGAATGAATGAATGAGTGAACGCATGAATAAAATATTTTCATCATCTTCAGTCATTCTGACTTCTTAAAAGGATATGCCATAAATAAAAGTGATCTCAAAAACATACTTATTAAGTATGCTTTTCTGCCCATCCAGTTTTTACTGGCACATAGTTTAATAATTCTAGTTCTGATATCAAGCCACATCAGTCCACTTTTGATCTTGGCTGACTTTTTTCCAGACACACAGTTGGAAGCAAAGGCCAAAAAAAAAAAAAAAATGGGGAAAAACAAAGAGATCAAATTTTGTTTTCCTCTTTTTCGGTAAGACATAGCATTTCCCGAAACTTGGAAACATTGTTAGGAAGCCCCTATTAAATGCAGATACTCAAAGTATTTTCCGCTACGTATGATACCCCGACACCCTTATCGTTCACCAAATTTCCTTTGGCCTTTTAATGGTAAGAAATGTAGAGCCCGAGCTGACTGCTTTTTATTTCTACAAGACAAGGGTTCAGCTGGTATTGGGGAAACAACCTCTGTTTGTTCCTGTCTGCTCAGGAGAACTGTTTCTAATTGATCTGGCATGGAATTTAGTTGGAGATGTGTATGTAGCAATCCAAGTGCAGAGTCTGTATGCTACGTGATAACCATATGGGCCTTATTTG